ACAGGTAGAAGACAGTGCAGGTGGTGATTGCAAGTAACATCACTTGCGGTAGTACAGGTGTCTGAGAGTGCATGTGCATGTCAGCAGCCAGACTCTATTGGGGGCACTGCTCTCATTAAATAAGTCAACAATATGATTTCTCCATAGACCACATATAACTGTCTTCACCATAGCAGGTTTCTCTACTCACTGAAGTTTTTGTATCTTCATAATCTGTTACATAAAGTATTTTCTTTCCCTCTAGTCGATAATGAACCTAGATAGACTATTTCATAAAAATGGCAAAAAAAATATTCAGTCTAACAAAAGGCACTCTGATAAATGCTGCTATTTGTGAACTGCAAATGACAAAGTTGGATTCTGCGATCGGATTCATTCTTTTCAATTGTTCTCATTGTTTTTTTATCAGGAAAAGCAAAGCTATGAGTTCTGCCATTTCAAAATCTACTCAAAGCCTTACTACTGCTGAGGACATGAGGAACCAAACCAAACTTATAATGCAGCCTTATGCTAACTGGGAAGAGTATCTGACTCCAGCACCTCTATCCATAGCCATCCTGGGAGAGCTGGTATTCATCTCGTCCTCAACAGATTTCTCAATCAATAAAAATCCCCCTAAAGATGGCTATAAATTCATCAAATACCCTGATTCCTTTCGCGCTTGCCTCATGCAAGTGTGTAACTCTGGTTGGTGGGCATTCAATGAGGCCCATACGAGCATGGATCAAATTCGCCTCCATACTGCCCAAGTTCCAGATTACATGAAAACAACTGTGAAGATTCTGTTCCAAGACAATGATGAAGTTGTCAAAGCTCATCTTCCTGATCAGCTAGACAATATCAGAGTCATTGCAGATGAATGTCTGAAGTTGTCTGATGCAACTGAAAAACGTTTCACTGAAGTCATCAAAATTATCCAAGAGCTGCTAGAAGCATGTTTGAATGCAGAGCACTTCTATGGGGAAGAGTTGGAAGCAGTCAAGAATAAATTAGAAGAGGGCAAACTGAGGGAGCAGTCAGCTCAAGAGACCAAGAAAAGGACTGAGAAGGCAATGAGTGCCATGGAGAAGGAACTGGAACAGGCTCATGAGAGCTACAAGGCAGCTCTGGATTCTCTCCCTAATGGATGGGAAATGATTGGCATGGATTTTGTGGGTGGGATAACGGGAACCGTTACAGGTATAATTTCTGGAATTGCATCTCTTATTAGTCAACCAATGAAATTGTTGTCTTCTGCAATATCAGGATCCGGGTCAGATCAGGAAGTTGCAAAAGATGTGGTAGCTGAAATAAACGTATATAGTAAGTCTGCTGAAATTTTAAAATGTGCCCAGAATATCCAGCAACTAATGACTGTGAACAGTGAGGACGATGACATTGCCTGGACAAATCTGTATGATCAGAAGAACAAAACTACAACCACAGATTTCATAGCAAAACAGATAATAAGAATCGGTGAAAATTTAAAGAAAATCCCTGACTGTCCAGCAAATAAGCAAGCTCAGGAGTTATGCATAAAGGGCATGGAAATATGCAACCAGCTTGCAAAATATGCACCAGATGGCAAATGTGAAAAAGACAAAAGCACTGAAATAATACATAAGGTCTTGGATCTGAGCAAGTCAGCCCATATTTTTGATAGCAAAAGTAAAGCCATCACAAATAGTCCAGCCATTTCTCCAACACCACCAATGATGCACAAAGAAGAAAACAAGTCAGAGAACACGAGTCCTTCTCAGAGGGCCACAGAGAATGCAAGATTTGCCATAGAGCAGACCCGAGCTCAGGTGAACAATACAACACAGACTTATGAAAAGTGTGTGGAGAACCTAGAGAACAACCAGAAGGAATTAACTGAAATCCTGGTCACTATGAGAAATTGTGAACTGAAAGAGATCGACTTCAAAACTACCATAGAGATGTTGATCAAAGGAATGGATGCCATGGGGAGAATGAAGGAGCAGTGGGAGAAGATGGTTCACTTCTTTCAGATGGTTTCCAACATTGTGAAAACCAGCCTGAGTAAAACTCTCACAAACTTTGTCTCCACATCTGAGAAAACACAAGCCCTCCCCTATGATGGAAAGCTCTTCTCAAAAGATATGCTCTATACTCAAGCCTTCCAAGCCACTAACATTGCTAGTCTGGTCCATATGATCTCTGCAACATACACAGATGTTTCCAGCAAGTACCTGATGGATCGTGTCAGTTCACTGGGCAAACTGATGGCCATGGATAAAAGTAAGCCAGAATTTGAGCATGAGCGAAAACTGCTCCAGAACTGCTGTGATGAGGCACAAAAAGGCATCTTAAACCTTGTTTTGAATAATAAATTGGAGTTTGACAGGAAGAGCACCACAAGGCTAGAAAGGATTGATCGAGAGTTGCTTGCCATTCTGCCTGCTGCTTCTCCCGAAAAAATCAAGAGAATTCAAGAGGATGTTCAAACTGGATTCAGTAAAGAAGAAGAATCATATTACTGAGAGAATTTAACAAATCAGTTTTTTACAAGGTTGTTACAGATAATATTGCTATAGCTGAGAGTCAGTATAGATTCATTATAGCTCAACTTACATGATAGCAGCCAAAGTTAGTCTGTATAACTGTATAAAACCTGTTTTAATTAATAAAGCAGATCCACTGAAACAAACAACCAAACAAGAAGCATTATTTTGTTGTCTGTATAAAAGCAGTGTTTGCAGGAGCATTTGCATGAACAGAAAACAGCTGAACACCCTGCCCATGAAAAATATGCAGAAGACTTTAAATGCAGGATTTATAAAATCCTTTTCATACCTGGCTTGTTTGAATGTGGCATGCTTTCTTCCATAGTTTGGTTTGTTTAGGCATATATGAACATGGCAAACACACTCGCATCTAAACCAAGATCCACACTAGATCACCTGAATGAGGTGGTCTCGGTCTGATTGAAACTGAAATTTCATTATGTAAAAAGAAAAGAAACAATGTCTGATTCTGTGGGTTATTGTATACTATGTACTATTTAAAATTTTACACACAAACATTTATATATTAAGGGCCAGATTTACTAACAGCTTCGTCAGCGCAAACTGTCTTTTGGCGTTAAAATAGTACTGTCAGGATTTACTAAAGACATGCAGTGAAGAATTAACGCTGAAAAGGCATGGGCATGGTTATTTTTTCGAATGGAATTGCGCTCTAATGCTAATTTGCCCTGTTTAGTAAATCTGGCTCTTAATTGTCTATTTTTACTGAAGATATGTCAGAATAGCAACACCATGGATTCAAATTTAAAGATGTCACGCAGTTAGCCTACAGTTTTTTTATGAAAAGGAAATATGTCTGAAATGTACATCTAATTCATGGAATTACTGAATAATAACATCATGAATTACAATTTGTATTAAAGAAAAATAATAATAATACTAATAACAACATGCCACTTTGGGTCTTTTGTGCCAATTCTGGCAGGGCCATCCTATCCCAAACGTTTAATTTTACATTTTCACTTCAAAATAAGAACGTTAGAACATAAAAATAAGAATGTATAATTTTTACTCCAAAAAAATAATGAGTCCACAAATCCTCATTAACAAATAGACAAACAAACAATAAACAAATTATTTGATATTCAACATACAGTGTCATAGATAACTATTTTCCAGAGAGAGATACAAAATTAGATGGGGAGATGGGGGTGGGTAAGACATTTTATCCAGTCTTACCCTAAACAGTTCAAGGGGGTTCGGATTGGAGGGGCACCTCGATAAGCCCCAAAGGCCACTTTACCCCCTACTGTGAGAGTGGACTCATTACCAAAATGAAACTGATGTCACTACATCAGGCTTCAGGAGCAAATTATTTTATCCACTGACCTATAGCTGTATGAAAAATAAGGTTATGAAATTAATATAGACATAAGCTGCAATCATCGGGATTCGGGATCCAAGCACCAGTGGCTCATGTAGACGATTAATTCTCTCACTAAATAATGTTCATGTAGGGACTAATACATTTTGGGGTTACTGCTACAATCTTTTACAATTACTTTGAATGTTGAATTTCTTATTCATTTAAACAAGTTGCACGACAATTGTCTACAGTTCATTCTCAGTGAAAAGCTATACAAATTAAATGTGTGTACATACAAAAGTGCATATTGTTTTTCTGTGTACTAAAAAGCTCAGTGTAATGCAAAACTGGTTGGTGTCAACAAAATTAACACAATTTTATGCACTGATTTAGTATGTAACAAATATTTTCAGGATGCCATGAAAAAAAATCTCATCTTTGTCTTTATCATTATCTTAACATCTTATGACATCAAGGTTCTTTGTAATTGTAAAAAACGGCATTATTTTAATTATTGTCTTGAATCACTTTTAAATTGTTGTTACTGTTGCATGATTTGTGATTTCATTGTCAAAATATCTATTCATACCATCCTTTGTGTTTGTGTGCGACAGGAAAAATGAACCATTTCCATAAACAGTAGGTAAGATATTTTATCCAATCTGCGCTTATTATATATTTATATTTAAATGCATATTGATGACAAGTATTGTTAAACTGTACCATTAAAACTTTTAAAAAATCTGTCAAATCTGTACATCAATTTAATGGAAATGCTGAATATCCTTATGAATTACAGTATTAAGTATTACAGTATTACATTATTAATTAAGGTATTAAAAAGGTACAATTTTTACTCCACAAATCTAAACATTTTAATGTATCCACAAATCCTAATTAACAAATAGACAAAAAAACAATAAATAAGTAATAAATACTTTGAGATTCAACATACAGTGTCCCAGAAAACTGATAACCAGAGATATAAAATTAGAACATCTTACTCTGCCTTACCTTATAACACACAGTTCAAGAGGCCCTGTGTTCATGTGTAATCACATTTTCTAAATATAACAAGACATCTACCAATAGCATTAGAGCTCCAGCACTGTGAATGCCCATTACAGAACAGAGACCATCACAACAAGAAATAAAGTTGCTGCAACTCTCAATGCACCTTAACAGATCTTTTGACTTGATGAAACGGCTCTGACTTTTGGATAGGGTAAGGCAACTGCATTTAGGATCTTTTGATAAAACATGCTGTAGTTGGTAATCATACGAATTTTGCTTTAACCTTCTATATACACTTTGAAAAAAATCACCTATTTAATATGTTAATACTATACAAAATGTAGGCTACTAATTCTGAAATAATCTTTTTCCTCCGAATATGCTGGGAAAAAAAGTATATTACATTGAAAGAAAACATTTTAACCTACGTACCCCCAAATTTCTTCAGTAGATTGACTGCACCCCAAATTAAAGCAGGCTAAATTATAGAACTCTGTTTCTAACAATCTCTAAATAAAGTGTTACTTTCATTTATTTTTAGGAATACCACATGAAGTAAATATAAAATTAACAATATATGGTTAAAAATATACTCTAAATATAATATAATATATACTATATAATATAAGGTCACTGTACCCCTACTGTAAGAGTCGACTTGTTACCGAAAAGGTTATGAAATTAATATAGCTGTATAAGCTACAATCATCGGGATCCAAGCACCAAAGGTTCATGTAGGGTTTAATAAATTTTGAGGGTTATTGTTACAATCTTTTACAATCACTTTGAATGTGAATTTCTTATTCGTTTAAACAAATTACACATACAGTTGTCTACAGTTCATTCTCATTGAAAATGTTATACTTTTCACAACTTTGGTAACACATTGCTACAAAATAAATGTGTATATACAAAAGTGCATATTGTTTTTCTGTGTACTAAACTATTGGCTTTCCCTAGTAAACCTTTGCCTGTTGTTGAAATCTGTATCTAAAAAGTTCAGTGCGATGCATATTAGCATTCAGCAAGACAAAACTGGTTAGTGTCAACAAAAATTAGAAGAATTTTATGCACTGAATTTGTATGTAACAAATATTTTCAGGATTGACTGCCATGAGGAAAAACAGGTTCCCTATCGATACTTCACTTGTACTGCTTCTAAGACGCTTGGGGAAAACTCATTTTTCTCCGATGACTGAAGCCTTTCAATAACGCAGTGTAACTGCACGGCCATTGGTTTGTGCAGTGAATAAAAAACGAACCAATGGCTCGGCAGCGGAGCTGATAAGGTCCCCTTCCTCGACTCCACGGTTTCCCCTACTGGCCTGTTTGGACCTGCAGTTGAGGACTTCCCTGAATGCTTTACCGCTGAACAGAAGTCGTCCCAAGCAATGCGACACTTCCTGCCAAAGCGCTCCAGCTCAACGGCTGCTTCTAGTCACCCAAAAAATGTGCAGACTCAGCATCCCGCGAAGCCTGCGCCATCAGTTGCTCCCACGGCTCCTAAGCCCGAGCCTCGCCAGCGCTCCCGCTCGGCCAGACGCCACCAGTTTCCTAAACGCCAGGGCCCCCGACCCAAGATAGTGTTGGACCCTGTGCCTCAGGCGTCATCCTGATCTGCGGGACAGGAAGAGGAGGGGGCCAAGTCTCGCTGCAGCCGGACCACCCCCCAAAACGCCTCTGTTATGCCTCCAAGCACCCCGTTCAGTTCCGGGTGCCGATGGCAGTGTGTTTGTGACCAAAAATACTGTTGTGAACATGGGGCCCGTTCTAATCATGTCCACACAACCAACCACTTTTATAGCTGGAAAAATAAAACACAAACATTTTCAAAAAGAGAGCAAATTTCCTCTTCCACTCATTGCGAGCGTCGGGTCCCCCCCCCTAGGCGGCCCACCGCTCGAACCAATCCAGCCCTGGCAGGCCATCCCCGGAGTGTCAAGCTGGGTCATGGGGATAATAAAACGAGGTTACACACTCCAGTTCGCTCGAAGACCCCCGCGTTTCAGCGGCGTGGTCTCCACCTCGGTTCAGAGCGAGGATGCACACGTCCTACGTGCCGAGGTGATGAATTTGCTAGCAAAAGGAGCCGTAGAAACGGTTCCCCCAGCCGAGAGCGAGTCAGGCTTCTACAGCCGTTACTTCCTCGTCCCCAAGAAGGATGGTGGCCTAAGGCCCATTCTCGATCTCAGGTAGGGCTGGACTGGGACAAAAAATCAGTTCAGGCACTCTCAAAAACTCCCATTTAAATCACTGAAGCTGTTTACACTGTGAAATGAATATCTTACTTACAGTCGTACGCACATCTGCACAGTCGGCGAGCAAGTGAACAAAACACCGCATTTCAGCGATGACTCATCTGAATGTCTCTGATTACCCATTGCATTCATAAGCTCAACAGACTCGTGTGTGATTGGTTATAATGCAGCGCTGTACAAACGCGTCTGTCTCTGGCTCAGTGCCAGCCAAAGCACAAACGCAGATTTCAATAGCAGCTGATGCTGTGCCGCACTAAACGATCTAATCACACCAGTGTGATTGTATCAAATGTGATAAATAATAAATGTCTTTTGGTAGCTGCATTTAAAATCCACTTGGCTCAGAAATCCCCCTCACTTTGAATGGGCATGACGCCTCTGATCACACTCATATCACATCTTGTTTTGGATAAGAATAAAACGTCAGGTCTGACAATATCGTGTCTTTTTTTATTTAAATCTAGATTTATTTGTATTGGCCCATGGAAACCTCTATGAACACACTTGACTTGGCCAAAAAATCACGGGGGACAAATTTACGTTTTATTAAAAAGTGGTTTCGTATTCTACACTCATTAGAGGGTTAGATGCCTGCCTCCGCTGTGAGTCCCTATCAAGCATTTTACCGATTCAACTACTCTCTTCTTCTCCTCCTGCCTTGCTCTTTGGCCCGCATCATTCCCCTCAGAGCAAGTCTGTTCTTGATAATGCTGCTGTGAAAACGTGGGAAAAGCCGACGAAGAAGAAGTTGGGGTGAAGCGATCTTTATATAGGTGGAGCAAAATACTTAATCGCTCCGTCTATAGCGCATTGTGATTGGATGTTTACGCTGTCAATACAGGAGACAAACTAATGGGCCACTGGCTGCTCGCTGTCCGTGCGTGATGGTCCTCGGGGAAAAAAAAAAAAAACCTTCTGTCGGCTCCTTAAGTGCATCTTGCCCACTGGGAAAATGCCCGGTATGCCCGATTACCAATCCAGCCCTGATCTCAGGTGTCTGAATCGCACCCTCATGAGATGGCCGTTCAGGATAATTACATTGAAACAGATCCTCTCGCAAGTATGCCTAGGGGACTGGTTCGTTTCGCTGGACCTGAAAGACGCTTACTTTCACATCCAGATAGCCCCCTGTCACAGACGATTCTTGAGATTCGCCTTGGTCCTTCCCTTTGGACTGTCTCTAGCTCCTCACACTTTTACGAAGTGCATGGATGCGGCGCTTTCCCCACTGAGACGGGAATCCGCATTCTGAATTACCTCGATGACTGGCTCATTCTGGCCCAGTCGGAGGACGAGCTAGTATCTCACAGATCCCTCCTCCTCAGCCACTTAGAATGCCTGGGACTCAGGGTCAATTTTGCCAAGAGCGCGCTGTCCCCCAACCAACGGATATCGTTCCTGGGAACAGTTTTAGACTCAGCCCAAATGAGGGCAATAGCCGCGCCAGAACGTGCACTGGCCATTCAGCAGCTCGCGGCCTCATTCAGAGTTGGAGCCTCTCACCCCCTCAAGGTGTTTCAGAGGATGCTAGGCCTCATGGCCTCAGTGTCTCCGGTACTACAGTTGGGCCTGCTCCGCATGCGGCCCCTTCAGTACTGGCTGAAACCACGAGTTCCATCCCGTGCCTGGCGTCTCGGATGCCTTTGCGTCAAGGTAGACCAGGCCTGTGTATCAGCCCTGGCCCCTTGGAAAGATCCTCGTTGAATGGAACGGGGCGTGCCCCAGGGAATGGTCTGGAGAAGGAAGGTAGTCTCGACAGATGCCTCCAACACGGGTTGGGGAGCGCTGTGCGATGGCAAGCCAGCTTTCGGCCACTGGTCGAAAGAGGAAGGCCGGCTTCACATCAACTGCCTGGAAATGCTGGCAGTGTGTCTGGGCCTTCGAACCTTTCTGCCAGACCTAAGGGGACACCACGTCTTAGTCCGCTCGAACAGCATGACTGTAGTGTCCTATATAAATCGCCAGGGCGGTCTCTCCTCGAAGCGCCTTTTCGCACTAGTGGAGTGCCTCTTGGAATGGGCTCAGCTCAACTTGCGCTCGCTGAGAGCAGCGTGTATACCGAGCAGGCTGAACCAAGGAGCAGATATGCTGTCTCGGAGCAACGTCCCCTCGGAGGAGTGGACGCTCCACCCTCAAACGGTTCAGAAAATCTGGGAGATCTTCGGCAGGGCAGAGGTCGACCTCTTCGCCTCAGAAGACAACTCTCATTGCCCAACTTACTTTTCAAAGGACAGGGACGCGTTGGCCCACGACTGGCCCCACCTCCTCCTTTACGCTATCGCTCTGATTCCACAGGTGAACAGGTGAGTCAGGGAACAGAGACGCAAGGTGCTGTTGGTGGCCCCGCTCTGGAGGAACCAGCACTGATTTGCAGAGCTGTGCCGGCTGCTCTCGGCAGCTCCGTGGCCCATTCCCCTGAGACGGGACTTCCTCTCTCAGGTGAACGGAACGATATGGCACCCCCAGCCCAAGCTGTGGGACCTGCACCTTTGGCCTCTCAATGGGAGCTTGCGAACCTCCCCGTGAACATGCTAAACACAAACTCTCAGGCTAGAGCACCGTCTACAAGACACCTCTATGCTCTTAAATGGTCTGTCTTCTCCGCCTGGTGTACAGCCCGCGGCGCAAACCCAAACTCATGCGACATATCTCTGATATTGTCCTTCCTGCAAGAGCTGTTGGATAAGGGCCGTTCCCCTTCCACGCTCAAGGTCTATGTTGTAGCCAAAACAGCCTCTCACGCTCCTATAGCTGGCCAATCGGTGGGCAGGAACAACTTGGTTGTTCATTTTCTGAAGGGGTCTAGAAGGCTCAACCCGCCTCGCCCCATCACTGTCCCTACAAGGGATCTGCCCACGGTGTAGAGGGCTCTGAAGAGCCCCCCATTTGAGCTGCTACAGTCCATTGACCTTCGTCCCCTGATGCTTAAGACTGCTCTGCTTCTAGCATTAGCATCGGTAAAGCGTATGGGAGATCTGCAGGCGCTATCAGTGAGCCCCACCTGCCTCAAGTTCGGGCCCAACGACGGTTAGGCGTATGGTAGATCTGCAGGCGCTATCAGTGAGCCCCACCTGCCTTGAATTTGGGCCGAACTACTCTAAGGTCGTCCTGAAACCAAGGCATAGTTATGTACCTAAAGTGCTCTCTACTCCATTTAAAGCACAGGTAATAACTCTATCGGCGCTTCCTCCTTCAGAGCAAGAGCAAGAGTTGAACTTACTCTGTCCCGTCAGGGCACTGAAAGTCTATGTTGAGTGTTCCACCTCATTCAGGCGGTCGGATCGGCTATTCGTATGCTTTGGTGGCCGCACCAAGGGTTGTCCAGTTACAAAGCACAGATTTTCCAAATGGATAATTGACGCTATTATGCTAGCATACTCTTCTTTGGGCCTTCAATGCCCCATGGGAGTAAGAGCCCACTCAACTAGAGGCATTGCCTCTTCCTGGGCTTGGTCTAGTGGTGTGTCCATTGCAGAAATTTGTGCGGTGGTCGGCTGGGCCTCGCTGTCCACATTTGCCAGATTCTATAGTCTGGACATCCCGGCCTTACAGGCGCAGGTCCTTTCTGCATAGCAGGGCACTCTGTCACATGACAACCAGTGCTTGGCGTTTGCCTCCTTCATGTACGCTCTTGGCCCTCAGTGAGTTCCGAGGCTGTACTGAATTATTTCGGGACGATGATACAAGGCTGGGCCGACCTCTCTGAGTTTAGCCCTACTGCCTTTTGCGGGGTTTCCCTGCAAAATACTTGGTTCCTCTGGTTCCCCTTGGGTGCTTAAGGCAAGTTCAAGTATTAGTCGTTCCTCTAGCATAGCATGGCGGGATTGTACTGGTTCCCCAAGAGTCTTAAACAGACGCAGTACGAGTGAAGTATCGATAGGGAACGTACTCGGTTACTAACGTAACCTCGGTTCCCTGAGATACGGAACGAGTACTGTGTACTTTGCCGTGCTATGTAGCTGCACGACTCAGTTGTCACTTCAGCATTTTAAACAGACGCAGTACTCGTTCCGTATCTCAGGGAACCGAGGTTACATTAGTAACCGAGTACGTTTTATCTTAACCTTATCTTTATCTTAACATCAGTTTTTTAAAGACAATGACATCAAGGTTCTGATATTAGTGCCATCGAGATTTTATTACTATTTTATTTACTGTGTAAGCACTTTTAAATGATTGTTACTATTTCATTATTTGTGATCGTATTGTCAAAACATCTGTTAATATACTATCCTTTGTGTTTGTGTGTAACAGGAAAGATGAACCATTTCTACAAACATGAGTAAGTTATTTTATCTAATCTGCACATATTACATTTAAATGCACAGTGATGAAAAGTATTCAGTTATACCATTAAAGCATTTTAAACATTTTTCGTATACTTGCAGTGTTATGGAGTTGCAGTCTATGAAGTCAGTTTCTAAGTCTCTAAATGAAGGAATTGTCTCGATCTGTAACATCTGCAAGTCCCTTATGGATGCACAAGTCAATCCTACCACTGACACATGCTCCAATTACAAACAAATCAGGGGACATATCGAGGATGCTGAGCAGTGCATGAAAAATACTGAGAAAATGATTCAAGAAAAATTGGTAAATTTGGATGAACGCATGGAGCAACTTATTAGAGAGAAGCAAAACGTTGAGCAGCAGAAGAAAGAAAAAAGCATGACCATGAATAAATTGCACGAAGAGAAGAAGTCTGCTGAAGTTTCATTAGAGTGTTCCAAAGCAGCTTTGACACAGGCTATAAAAAACCTAGAATCAGCAAACTATGCCCTAAGAGTACAACAAGACAGGAAGAATGCAGGTGAAGGACTGACAATTGCAGGTGGGGTATTGCTTGCAATACCAATTATTGGATGGATTGCTGGTGAGTATTACATTACTCTTACCAGGGCTGTACGTTAACTTTTTTTGGCACATAGCACTGGTGCTTCAGAGGTTGAAAGTTTTGTAGCACAGGCCAAACAGTTGTAGCACAAGTTAGGGGTGGGCGATATGGCAAAAATATCATATCACTATTTTATTCAGGAATATCACGATTCACGATTTTATCACGATTCTTTGTCATGTTGGTTTTACTATTTTGCAAGTTGCCTGAGCAGTACAGCCAATCTAATTTCCCTATTGTAAAAAAAATAAAGCCTTTCAAGGTAACAAAATATAAAATAAAAAAGAATGGCAGACATTTAGGCCAAAGTGGGCGAAGATAAAAAAAAATCTTTGTCATTATTTTATCTTTGTTATTAGAAAATAAGAACAAAAGATATACATTACAAAAACGCATAATATGCAAATAAAACAAACAGTGCTTTATTTTTCAGGTACAGTATTTAGAAGTAACATTAAGTATTAAAATAAAACACTATATACATCAATTATATATTTTTTAAGCAACTATTAAAGTTCATCAGTCATCAGAGCAGTGAGTAATTTTTCTGTTTTTTTTTTAATTTTTTATTAATATTAAAGGGATAGTTTACCCAAAAATGAAAGATCTGTCATCTGTCTGTCAATTCTGTCATAGTGTTTTATTTTTATCCCATCGTTTACTCACTCTCAAGTTGTTTTAAACCTGAATTAGTTTATTACTATCCCTTTAATGACAAGCGGTCATTAAACTTTAAACATTTACTTTCATTTTAGACATAACTAACTGTGTTTATATGTAAACCTTGTGTGCTTTTGACAGTATGATGCAAAATCAATCAGACGCCAAAGACAACTTCTAAGTTGAATTAAGTCTTAAACTTAAGTCTAGTAATCAGGCAGGCACTGATTGAAAGTTGCGCGCGCTTCATGTGTACGCACTCAGAAGCATGTCAGAACAGCACGTGAATTAAATGTTTAACCGGCAAGGCTTTAAAGCACATGCAAATAATGTACTTTTGTGATTGCGCATAAGTGCTGTGTCCCGTGAGCGTAACTCTACCTCTCTGTTAACATTTGAAGTGAATGTATGTGGCGTTGTACAGTATATTGAGACCATAGACGGAGGCACCAGAACTTCAGCTGATAGAATGTGCGCTGTAGCACGATACTACTACATTTCTTCAAAAGCAGATCGTGGAGACATTTTAATCGTCCACCATCAAAAATCGTCATATGGCACACCCCTAAACCAAGTATAATCAATCTCACACACACAAACAAGCACAACGACATCACTTCTTACACTATTAAGCGGCTGTGTAATGAATATGCAAAACTGTATTGCACGTGTGCTACAGTGGTAAATTTATTCATCGCACAAACCAGTTTTTTCATAGCACGTGCGACATATATTTCGCACTGTACAGCCCTGACTCTTACCATCACTCTGAATTTAACAATTTGTGAAGTTATGCATTGTTTTCCCCTTTGGCTGATGTGTATTCAAGAGATTTCTGTTCTCTAGGTCCAATAATGATTAGTGAGGGACAGCCGGGATTTCAAGAAGCTTCAAATGCCTTGAGAGATGCTGAACGGGAGAAACAAAACTGTGAGTCTCAGGTGAGGAACTGGATTGCAAAAATGTTTCATTACGAGGGAAAAATCTCTAAGACACAGACTGAAATTGAGCAGGCCAATGAAGCACTGAAGAGGATTGAGTGGAAGATTGAAGAGGTTCAAGAGCATCTAACAGGCACAGCTGGAATTCAGGAAGTGGTCAGGAGAACTGTCAACCTTCTGAGTGTTCTTAGTGGAAGAGTCACTGTACTGGAGAGACAAACACAACGTTTCATCCTCTGGCAGCCTGTAGTAAAGTCCATGGAAGATGTGATGAAGGCAATAGTAAATATTGCTGAGAATCGGCTCCTCAATAGTGATGGTGTACTAGGCCCTATAAATACTTTGAGGGAGAATGTTGGAGGATTACTGGCTTTATGCAACTCGCCCAGTAATTCTGAAAATGACAGCTATTACTAATCATTTCAATGTAACTCACATAGCAAATGCTTTAAAGAAAAAGGGGTTATTGGTGTTTTTAGAAACCACTCAAGTAACTCTGGACATTTTTTCTGAAAGTTATCGCTATGATGATATAGTGTTTAATGGCGTTTTAACTCATCATATCTGACAAAACAGAAAAAATAGAACATCATTACTGCATTACAAAACCATACTTTGCAATTATGTTGTAAATTCACAAATTAATTTACAACAAATTCTGATTTTAATCACAATGCAAATTTGTTCAAATCTTATCCACTGCACATTCATCTCAACTGCTTTCATGAATGAGTCCATTTACATGGAATATATGACAAATATTTTACATCTTATTAATCACTCATAATTAATTTCAGATAATCAGTTTGCACGTTACTGTTTGCATGTTTATAGCTCATATAAAAAAAAGAAATAAGGTTATTTAGAAAATATAGAAAATAATATAATTTAAAATAATTTACAAAATAATTTATAGAAATAAGGAATTGGTGTCAGTTTCTGTTCCAAGGATTTAGTTTTTAGTTCCTGTTTCCTCAGTTCCCTTTGGTTATTAGCAAAGCCACTGGAAGGCAAGCCTGCAACCTTTAGCCAAAAAAGCGTCAATGGAGGAGAGGCGTCACTATACTGAATAAACAGTTTTTGTTAGAAAATAGCTCATCATTTAATGAATCAACAGCCTGTTTGATAATCTTCAACATGTTTTATGCTATACAATATTTTCATTGGGAACTATATGTAGATTTTACCTTGATAACAATTGTATTTTTTATGAGAAGCCAGAGTAGGGAATGTCATGACCGGTAGGACCAGGGCTGGACTGGGACAAAAAAAATCGGCCCTAGCATTTTTTGGTCCAGGCGGCCCACCACCACTTCAATATATATATACAGTGGTGTGAAAAAGTGTTGGCCCCCTTCCTGATTTCTTATTATTTTGCATGTTTGTCACACTTTAATGTTTCAGATCATCAAACTAATTTAAATGGGGGGGGGCACATGTGACACAGCAGCCACAATAGCACTGTATAACTGATATAGGCTCATGTTTTATTTTATTTTTTCCGTTTTATTCGAAATATTTCCAAACGTGTATCAGGAAATATCTCGATTCTCGAACATGTGTAAGTAAATGCATTTTGTACCAGATTGTTATTTGTGGGTGACAAAGTAGAGTAATAGTGTAACCTATTAACTACACATAAAAACCCGACTTTTTACTTAAATAGGCCTACCAGGTATGGGTGTAATGCCATAAAATATTTTTAATACGACTGACTTTGTATTTAATAATAATATTGTAAGTTACTATATCAGGCTATAACATTTCCATTTTACAGAGAGCAAAGAAAATTTAAATGATCAAAGAACATTTTCACTTCTGTCTAGCCAGAGTTCAGGCACTCTCAAAAACTCCCATTTAAATCACTGAAGCGGTTTACACTGTGAAATGAACATCTTACTTACATTCGTACGCACATCTGCACAGTCAGCGAGCAAGTGAACAAAACACCGCGTTAAAATTCACGTGTTTTTGGCTTTTTTGCCTTCCATACGCGATGACTCATCTGAACGTCTCTGATTACTGTTGTGTTCTTGTATTATTGATTCACCAGAAGAGGGCACTATGGGTTACTAAATTGGTACCTATAAAAGGTGTAGAAGAATAATTGAATGTGAACAACCATGTGGCATGCAGGCTGTGTTTGCTGTTGGCTTTTGATGCTAATAAATCTTTGAATTGTAACTTCTGGAATCTGACTCTTCATGCTTACCTGGACTTGAAACACTACAATTACCCATTGCATTCATAAGCTCAACAGACTCGTGTGTGATTGGTTATAATGCAGCGCTGTACAAACGCGTCTGTCTCTGGCTCAGTGCCAGCCAAAGCGCGAACGCAGATTTGAATAGCAGCTGATGCTGTGCCGCACTAAACGATCTAATCACACCGGTGTGATTGTATCAAATATGATACATATTAACCCTCAATCTGTCTTTGGGGTCAACATGACCCCAATCAACTTTTCATTAGTTAAAAAAAAATGGTTACATTCATCTCAGCAAAATAAGTTTTTGTGACTTTTCTACATTATCTATCTATATTCACATAAATAAAAAAACTGGGCTTGATTCACTTGTTCTGAAGGCATGTAACAAAAAACATGTTTACAAATCTTGTCTTTGGGGTCAATATGACACCATATTGAAATGAATGAGAAATGCTAAAAAAAAATCTGGATTTTTTTTCATTTGTCAAAAAAAAACAAAACAATTAATCCGGCATAAATCTGAAAATTGACAAAAAGACAAAAGACGTCTTTTTATGACATCTTCTAAGCATCTTATATTGACGTCCACGACTTCTCTAGAAGGTTAAAATTTAGTTCAGATGTAGTCCTTGCGGTAGGCCTGTCACAATAACAACTTTTTGTTGTGTGATATATTGCCCCAGAAATAATTGCGATAAGCGATATTATTGTCATTTTAAAGACCATTTTATACCACTGAATATATAATCATGTAACAGCATAATAATGCAAGAAGGCCTACACACTTCCAAATGACAACAAACTTTTAATTTTTAAGAATATTTAGTTAATGGAAATTAAGTATCAAAATATTAGATACCTTAAAAAACCTGAATAAATAGTAAATAAACATTTTCTAACAACAAATGCAAAGTAACAAGTAGAAAAAAAAAAGAAAAATGCACAAAGAACTTGTATGAAGATTTTTCCCTTACCTTCTTTTCTCTGTAAATTAAAATTGTATATATTTTTTACAATTACTCTTTCTATTTTTCAATAGTGATGCTATATTTTCTTAATATGTTCTTCATCAGACAGCTCTTTTTCAGAGTTTGGTCTTTAAAGCTCTTAAATTTTAATACAAAATAGCCACATCTGTATACTTACTATATCTGTCATTTTAAAATTTGTGATTAAATATTCCTGTCATCATAACTGAAGATGTATGCTCTGCTTTCCATTGTTTTGACCTAAAATCTAACACTATACAGTGGACCCCGAAGGTACTACAAGTACTCCTACATCTATATAGGTTTTTTCCTGTAGTATTAAAGTTAAATTGTATCATTTTCATGAAAAGAAATACAGACCCCACTTAAATGATCATATATACACTAGTGGCAACAAAACATTCATCAGAATATGTTTATTTAACAATAACTCATAAAATATTTGAGCAGCCCACCCAAATCAAGCACAGTAAAATTATATCTGCTTAATTCATAAATATATACATATTTTGTTCATAATTAAGAACACTGCAAAATCATCATTTCAGTTTGAGAATGTAACAAACTGATAACAGCACATTTTTTTCACAACAGTACTACAGTTCACTCTAAAGACAGTCCATAGGTAAATATATGTTTCTTGTTGGGTAATGATTGTTCAAATGTTGACATCAGCTGACATAACACATTTAGTTGGAGTATAAAGACTAAATCAAAGTGTAGAATAATTCAACATGTAACAATACCCTTCACAAAAGGTTTCTAAATACATACAGCAGGGACAAAACTAGACAACTAGATCACTTGGATTGACTGGAATTTGGACTATACTGTAACAATGTTGTAACATTACATAAGCCAATTAAAGGGTTACTCCACCCTAAAATGAAAATTTTGTCAATAATCACTTACCCCCACGTCGTTCTAAACCCGTAAAAGCTTAGTTCGTCTTCAGAACACAATTTAAGATATTTTGTATAAAAACCAAAAAAAGTATGAAAGACATCGTCAGAATAGTCCATCTGCTATCAGTGGTTCAACCGTAACGTTATGAAGCGACGAGAATACTTTTTGTACGTGTAATTTACTTGGCAGTCAATCGGACAGTCACAAGCCTCCCGGTTTTCATCCAAAATATCTTAAATTGTGTTCTGAAGACGAACTAAGCTTTTACGGGTTTGGAACGACATGGGGGTAAGTGATTAATGACAACATTTTCATTTTGGGGTGGAGTATCCCTTTAAATAGTGCCACTGAAACACTTCAACTTCATAAAACCATCTCTAAATATTGCCTTCATTACATGAGGAATACAGAAAAAAAGACAGCCTGTATTCGGACAGAACCCATGTCATCATCTAAAGTGCCTCACCGATCAACAGCCAGGTAACTTTTCACCTCAAAATATTTTCAGTAACCAAATGAATGTATTGCAGCAGGAAAAAACACGATCTTTGAGAAGCCTCAAATACAGATTGTCCTTTCCGTAAGAGGTTTGGGTTGTTTGATGGAAGTTTATGTGACAGTGGCTGTTACTGAAAGGCTCCCTGTACGGCTGAAGATGCAGCTGTGGTGGCAGCGGACTGGAAGGTTCGGTTTGTGACGACCCCCTGAGAAAACTCTTCCTGTGCCTTCTGGAAGCTCGCACCTGTGTTTCTGTACATGGAGTGAACCTGAAAACACAGTGAAAGTCAGTGCACAATCCCAAACTGAAGGTTTGAACAATATTATTAGTAATGAATAATATAAATACACTCTCAGGAAAAAAAAAGTTTAAAAGCTGGCACTGTGGATGTCACCCTTTCAAAAGGTACACATTTGTTCTATTTATATTTTTTTTACCCCTAAAGGGTGCAAATTAGTACCTACATACTACTACCTAATGTGCATATGGTTCAAAGATGAGACATCCTATTTTGGTGTCTGCATAAAATTAAAAGTGATTTTATATACAGAAAAAGCATATTAATGAAAGTCAACTGTCAACTGTAATGTTTCAAATAACATCAAAATATGGGTGAAATAATATTCCAGTTTCATTCAGCATAACAGATATATTTTTGTAAAAATGAAATCATATACTTATTCTGACCTGTATTTATTCGTTTCTGTGGGCCGCACTGTGATCCTTAAACATAGTCTTTTAATGACAACTAACGATTCTGGTTCTAAACATGCCTGACCAGATTTTTTGTTATATGAACTATTGTTACACTGAA